GACAACATTCTGCTTCCAGACACTACATTGGTTGTTACACTAAGTTTGTGTATCCTAATTTTAAAACTCGTGTGGCTGCAGTCCTGATCTTGCTCCGCCTCCACACCACCAATAGTAATACGCGTATCGATTACTGCGTGGAAATTAATACGGGCATGGAACAGGTCACCCGTATTAATTTTATTTCACAAATAAAAATGTCATATTTTTTTCACTGTATTAATTGGCCATGGAACTAGAGGGTAAGTAATATTAAAGATTAGCTCTTTGAATTTTGTTTGTTCGCATTAACGCAGTAAATAGAGAACCGTTAAGGAACATTTGTCAAGTTACCTTGGGACCCCAGGCTATAATTTTCATCCGCCGAATAGAGATTCGGCGGAATGACAGGCTGAGCGCCGCCCAGTAATTGTTAAGGGGCTATATCAAATACCAAGCTATATTGTATGTTGTTCTACCAGCAGGGTTGTGAAAAACGTAAATGGTAAACTCAAAAAACGTGCTTTTTTCTATTTTTTTCAAAAAACGAGAAAAAAACGAGAAAAAACGTTCGCATAATCAATAATCTAATCAAGCCGACTCACGTGAAAATTCAAAATGTAGCGGTATGACCAATCAAACTTGCCAGTTGAGTTGAATGTTGAATACTTTTGCTTTCTAAGTTGCTGTACATGTAACACGAATAACTAAAAGGGGTGGGAATCAGCTGCAGTTTTATCTTTCTATCAGTAACTCAGTAACTGTGAGCAAGAAATGAGATTATGACCATGCTACCTACTAAGAGGGCAACATCAGATGTTGAATAGAGTTTGGTTGTACTTTCTGGAAATATCAAATATGAAACATCCTAATATGCGCTAATTTCAAATTTCAAGCTGGAACTGCTTCAAAATTGAAAAGATTGAATGCGTATCAGAATCATATCACGGCACCAAATAAATACAGAGAGCGGCAGGATTACAGTATCGAAGGTGAAAGTACGGAGCAGAGAGAGAGAGAGCCGACATAGTGCGACTTATACAAGAAGTGACTGTACGGCTGGGTGTAACTTATGAGTTATTGCTGGATGTATAAGTGCGCGTCTCAGTCTCGCACGTTTGCTTAGCTGCTAAGCAAACGTGCGAGACTCCTCCTCCTCCTCCTCCTCCTCCTCCTCCTCCTCCTCCTCCTCCTCCTCCTCCTCCTCCTCCTCCTCCTCCTCCTCCTCCTCCTCCTCCTCCTCCTCCTCCTCCTCCTCCTCCTCCTCATCCTCCTCCTCCTCCTCCTCCTTCTCCTCCTCCTCCTCCTCCTCCTCCTTCTCCTCCTCCTCCTCCTCCTCTTCTCAGTCCTCGTCCCCTTCAGTCCTCCTCCTCAGTCCTCAATCCTCCTCCTCCTCCTCTTCCTCCTCCTCCTCCTCCTCCTCCTCCTCCTCCTCCTCCTCCTCCTCCTCCTCCTCCTCCTCATCCTCAGTCCTCTTCCTTCTCCTTCTCCTTTTCCTCCTCCTCCTCCTCCTCCTCCTCCTCCTCCTCCTCCTCCTCCTCCTCCTCCTCCTCCTCCTCCTCCTCCTCCTCCTCCTCCTCTTCTCAGTCCTCGTCCCCTTCAGTCCTCCTCCTCAGTCCTCAATCCTCCTCCTCCTCCTCCTCCTCCTCCTCCTCCTCCTCCTCCTCCTCCTCCTCCTCCTCCTCCTCCTCCTCCTCCTCCTCCTCCTCCTCCTCCTCCTCCTCCTCCTCCTCCTCCTCCTCCTCCTCCTCCTCCTCCTCCTCCTCCTCCTCCTCCTCCTCCTCCTCCTCCTCCTCCTCCTCCTCCTCCTCCTCCTCCTCCTCCTCCTCCTCCTCCTCCTCCTCCTCCTCCTCCTCCTCCTCCTCCTCCTCCTCCTCCTCCTCCTCCTCCTCCTCCTCCTCCTCAGTCCTCAATTCTTCAATCCTCCGCATCCTTCTCAGCCCTCCCCTCAGTCCTCCTCCTTCTCTTCAGTCTCCTCTTCCTTCCTAGTCCTCCTCCTCCTTCTTCTTCTCCTCTTCTTTCCCAGTCCTCCTCCTCCTTCTCCTCTTCTCAGTATCCTCTTCTCAGTCCTCAGTCCTCCTCCTTCTCATTCCTCCTCTTCAGTCCTCCTCCTCTCTTCCTCCTCAGTCCGTATAAGTACGATACCTTCTCAGTCCTCAGTCCTCAGTCCTCCTTCTCCTCCTCCTCCTCAGTCCTCCTCCTCTTCCTTCTCCCCAGTCTTTCTCCTCCTTTTCCTCCTCCTCCTCCTCAGTCCTCATCTATCTCAGTCCTCGTATGTACGATACCTTCTCAGGTAAATAGAATTTCAGGACAACATTCTGCTTCCAGACACTACATTGGTTGTTACACTAAGTTTGTGTATCCTAATTTTAAAACTCGTGTGGCTGCAGTCCTGATCTTGCTCCGCCTCCACACCACCAATAGTAATACGCGTATCGATTACTGCGTGGAAATTAATACGGGCATGGAACAGGTCACCCGTATTAATTTTATTTCACAAATAAAAATGTCATATTTTTTTCACTGTATTAATTGGCCATGGAACTAGAGGGTAAGTAATATTAAAGATTAGCTCTTTGAATTTTGTTTGTTCGCATTAACGCAGTAAATAGAGAACCGTTAAGGAACATTTGTCAAGTTACCTTGGGACCCCAGGCTATAATTTTCATCCGCCGAATAGAGATTCGGCGGAATGACAGGCTGAGCGCCGCCCAGTAATTGTTAAGGGGCTATATCAAATACCAAGCTATATTGTATGTTGTTCTACCAGCAGGGTTGTGAAAAACGTAAATGGTAAACTCAAAAAACGTGCTTTTTTCTATTTTTTTCAAAAAACGAGAAAAAAACGAGAAAAAACGTTCGCATAATCAATAATCTAATCAAGCCGACTCACGTGAAAATTCAAAATGTAGCGGTATGACCAATCAAACTTGCCAGTTGAGTTGAATGTTGAATACTTTTGCTTTCTAAGTTGCTGTACATGTAACACGAATAACTAAAAGGGGTGGGAATCAGCTGCAGTTTTATCTTTCTATCAGTAACTCAGTAACTGTGAGCAAGAAATGAGATTATGACCATGCTACCTACTAAGAGGGCAACATCAGATGTTGAATAGAGTTTGGTTGTACTTTCTGGAAATATCAAATATGAAACATCCTAATATGCGCTAATTTCAAATTTCAAGCTGGAACTGCTTCAAAATTGAAAAGATTGAATGCGTATCAGAATCATATCACGGCACCAAATAAATACAGAGAGCGGCAGGATTACAGTATCGAAGGTGAAAGTACGGAGCAGAGAGAGAGAGAGCCGACATAGTGCGACTTATACAAGAAGTGACTGTACGGCTGGGTGTAACTTATGAGTTATTGCTGGATGTATAAGTGCGCGTCTCAGTCTCGCACGTTTGCTTAGCTGCTACACATATAATCTGACGGTATAATATACTAATATAGCAGAGTCTGGAATGTTTGCTTAAATACAATAATAAAGTGAGTAATGAGGATATGTGATGGATCGTTTCGATACTTTGCAGTTTTAATAGGAATGTAAGTGTACAGTGTAACTGAAGACTGCAATCAGCTTATGTGATTGTGGCCCATGCCTCAGTGTTCGTACTTCGCTGGTTCGTTTACTGGTAATCGGTGACCGTCAAAACATTGTAAATTTCCATATAAATCACAACATTTTTTAAATAAATACGCAAAAACCTGTTAAAAAACGTAAAACGCTCTAATTCAAAAAAAACGTAAAACACGTATTTCACAAACCTGAGTCTACCAGTACCACGCAGTTAAGCTGCATTTTAATACTTGCCATGACACGACTTGCCATGAAGATCAAAGGATCCTCAGCTGAAACACTTTACTAAGTAACTAAAAACCATTAGTATTGGAATAAACACGTGACATTGCGAGTAAACACTCTCCAGAGTCCGGACAAAATCTGTGGACGAAATGGACAAAATCTGTCACAAATACATTACCGTTGCGTCAGCCTTGTTGCACAATCAAAGATTGGTCGGAAAAAGAGTTATGCAGTAGTCGAGCAGGTGAGGTCGTGTGCACCGCAAAAGTGGTTAAGTCGGATCATTGTCAAGGTCGTGGTTGGGCTTATGCTTTGGGTTGGGTTTTGGATACGGGTAGACCGTAGGGTCCATAGTTTCGCTACCACCATTTCGCTACCACCGTGCGATTAGACTACTTTAAATCCTATAACTATAAGTTACAGGACAATTTTTCGATGAATGATTTGACTAAGAGGCCAGGCCCAGCTGTTGAGTGAGTTGTATTTAGAATGACTAGCAGGAACCTGTCCAACCCTAAAGTGGTGTCAAGACTCAAGAGACTAAAATTATTTTAGTAAAATAATTATTACTTCCTTTTCTGATTAAAATACAACCGGCTTTTTTTGAAAGCCAGTTGTATTTTTGCAGCAAATCAGATCGTGACACTGTTAGTAGGGCACCCTACGAAAGAAATAGAGACTTTTGGAAGTGTCGTCTGAATATATATATTTTTTTGTTGGGGACCGGCCCGAAGTACCAGCCAATGTTTAGTTTTACTCAAAAAATAATATATATAATAAGTGTTATCAATTAAAACTCAAAACTCACTAAAGATTAGATCTCATTAAAACGATTAATATGTATATCATGGAGCTTGTCGAACAAAGCATAGCTGAGCACATATAAAGTTGCCTTTATCATATTAATGCCCTTTTATAGTTGTAGAGTGGAAACAGGCGCATAGCTACGGCTAGCTAGCTATTCCAAAATTTTTTAAATTTAACGACTGTTATCAGTCGCATAGCGTCATGCCTTTTTAGCTGGCGAATTGATGGCAGTGTAACTGAGATGGTATGCAGTGAAATTGATTCTGTGATGGCGTGCTTATGAGACAGAGATATTATTAGCATTGCGGTTGATGTTGCGCTCTGATTTCCTTAGTCCCGTTATATTGTATAACATGAAGTTGGGCCATTCGTCTGCAATGCCCTCGTTTTGTTGATCAATGAGCATGTTTTTTTATGCACCTTTTGTAGATGTTAAGGTTGAATAGACTTGGCAAGGAAGTTGTTGCGACACTATATCTGTTTATTGCTAGTAGTGGACCTTTGTAGAATACTGAATTATTGTAAGGGTATTTACCATATTCATCTGACCATGTAGTTGTAAGACTTGAATCCGGATTGGCGACGTTAAATATTGGTGCACTGTTAGGTATTGTTTTCTTTATAGAGGGAGGCACTAAACTTGGGAAGTTTTTCAGCTTATGTATAAAAACTAATGCGTTCTTTACGATGATACTATGAACTGTCAATATTTTGTGTACATAGAAACCAGACTTGGTACTTGCTGGTGGTGTACCATCTTGTACCGTAATTAACAAAACCTGGTAGTATTGCTCTAAGACCCATTTTTTGTTTTACAAATAGTGTTTCTATATGGGATTGGCTGCAAAACCCCAGACGAGGGAGCAGTAATTAAGGTGAGACTGCACAAAAGCTGTGATATATTTATAAACCCCTCCGGGATAGAATAAGATTCTGATAATCCCGGCTCCCGCTAAATAGATTCTGATAATCCCGGCTCCCGCTGTTAGTTTTTTCCCCGCTGAATAAATAACCCCGGCACAGCTTTTATAATCCCGCCCCGCTAATTTGGCTCAACAAGATTGTTTTGTTTTGATATTCCATGAGAATTTCAACCGCGTACTGTCACGTGTTTTGATGACGTGTATCACGTGACTAACTACTACGACGCGCATTGGTAAAAAAATGTCACGTGACCTATGGCTTAACGTAAGAACTATAAATACACTCGATCTACGTATCGGTCTAATTGAAGGCGCTGGCAAAACTCCAGCACCTACATTACTTAAACTGTTACATTATTGGACCAGTTCCAAAACTTGTCTCGACGGTTACATTTGATTTTGTCCGGTTCGGTTAATTTTGTCGAGTTTGATATAAGCCATGTATTATAGTCGTCTACTTTGATGAACTTCATGACACGATATCATTATTAGCTTTTATCGCTTGCCAGGCTTAACTCGACGCCCCTTATCGATATTCATATCATTCAACGTTCTGACTGAGGAATAATGTTAGATATAACGCCAATTTCAAAAGTCATAGTACCTTAGTTGTATTTATTTGGATGTCCCCAATTCCATTTCATATTTTCCATAATGATCTCATATAGCTAGAATTAATATAAGAGTAATATAAGAGTAAAATGTCAAATTTGTTGGTCCTAGCACTAACCCGGAGGGGTTTATAACACATAACACCGGCACGCTTAAGTTATATTAAAATAACCCCTCGTGCTAAAGCACGTCGGGGTTATTTTCATAATAATCCCTCGTGCTTCGCACTCGAAATTATTATAAATTTTTCCCGCGCGTCGCGGGAAAAATTGAAATATAATCCCTGCGCATGCCGAGGTTATGTGTGTTGTAAACGTGCTTCCAGAGGCAAATATTTTTAAGTTTGTACATGACTCCAATGTATCTGGCCATTTTCATTTTCATGGCAGAAATATGTTGCGACCAGTTCAGTTTGTTATCTATTATAACTCCTAAGAAACGGGCTTCTGTTTTTTTTTCGATTGTGACACCAGAAATTACTACATCGCGATAAATAAGGTTTCTTTGCCGAGAAAAGATCATATAATTCGTTTTTTAAAGATTTAGAGCTAATCGTTGTTATCTACCCATTTTACTAAGACATCGCTAAGAATTTTGAGC